CTCCAGCGGCAATAACTTGTCTGTCCACGCGTCGCATCGTGTCGGAGCGTCCGCAAGTTTCATTTACATTTTTATTTAGCAAAAAAACAACAACAACGAGAATATCGTAACAACATCTCTCGGGCGAAACAGCACGCTACACATTCTAATTACTGTAACAGCGCCGCCTGGCGGGGCTGATCGTCCGCATTAGCGCAGACGAGCGCACTAACCCGATTCCCACGTAGGCACACGAACACCCGCGTCACGACGTTGTTGGCACATCGCGTGTGATCCCCAATGACACGCCAGACAATCGCGCAATTATTAATCTCGATATCGATCGACTGAGTAATGCGAGCAAAGTGTTGAAAACGATCGAACGCCGATCGGAGTGGTCCTACTATTATTGTTCGCTCTAGGCAGAGGCGGCGGCAAGCACGCACCGGGAACGATAACACGTGCCGGGCTATGAAACATCTACAACGTTTTAGCACGGATGAATATTTTAACACGAAATGATAAGATCGCGAGCGCGAGCGAATATTTCGTCATTAGGATAACGGCACGTTTACAACGCATTCCGATTTTAATGCACCATTAAATAGGAGCGCGACCACGAAGACGAATCCTCACCACACGCTGCATAGAGCAACCATCTACAACGTTTTACTAGTAGCATCAGCATTAATTAGGCATAAATTTGTATGGTTTCACTTTATCATCAGATCTCAAAAAATCGATATATATATATAATACCATACCACGAAAAATAATGCATACAACGGGTTTTCCACGACACTATGTATACCCTAGATAACGTCAGATCTTCGAATACTGCGTAATATAATAAATTACGATGATTTACATTTATTGCACCTGCGCACGATGTCCTTTTACGAAAGTATCCGACTCGTGCAGGAAAATGCTTTTCCCCGCAGGAGGGATTTTACAAGTAGTCGCACGATATTGAATCCTCTAAAGCTTGGTGTAATTTTTCCGTATCTGGTTTTTTTTCTCGACGAAAACCCAAACACCTGCGCAGGGTAGAAGGCGCAGCCTCGGTAAAACGCCACTACCTTACGTCATCGCTCGGCAGCGTGCATTTTTCATGATACAATTCCCGTTTCATTTTGCACGTTTCCATCCTATATTATTCATCCGTGAGCAGTCATCATTGTAAATAAGCATCGTGCAGACAAGCAACCTCCCTCCCTCCCTCCCCCCCCGCGCACACACAGAGGAGGTGGCAGCACGCGGCGGATAGCGGTTGACAGCGACCCATTATCTATCAGGGAGACAGAGCCATCAGCGCACACCTAATTGCTTTTTAATGCACGGAATCTTTTCATTGTCAAGCAACTTGACAGCAATTCTGCGGGTAATGCGGTTAAGCGCTGTCTGACCAGCTACCATGCTGCGATGCAAGCACAGAGGGTCGGCGACATCAAAGACGCTCACTCAGTCCTCCGGCAAGATTAATTTCTTTGACTGCGGCCACGTGAGCAGTGGCGGCCCGCTATCTCCGTGTACGTGTGGCAGCGGTTGGCTTCCGTGGAGATACGCTGTAGAGGTCCAGTAATCTCCGGACGCCAGAGATATATAACATTCCCGTAACATCTGGCCGCATGTCGAGAGGTCACAGAGAACGGCTTCTCATGTATGCCCATGTAGCAAGCGTGTCGAATCCACATTTCGACCTGCCTAGCTCGAGTCAGTACCATTATTTACCCGACCATACCTGCATAACAGATATGCATACCGGAGCCGTAGGAAAGTCATAGCTACCTACCAAAGCCTTGGCAAATTCATGGCGAGCTAGGGGAACCATGGCAATCAACTTACCGGAACCAGGGACAACCGCTAAAATCCACCTATCCTAATCACGACAGCTAATTAGGATGTAATGTAATTAACTATTATCTAGCTAACATAATTAAGGCAGCCTCTTGTATCTGCCTATCCCAATATTGACAGCCTATACACACCTACCGAAGGATAGTCTATAACTAAACTCTTATAACTATACCTACGTACCTGATCATTAGCACCTTACAGCTAACGAATATAATAATGGAAGCTTCTTGCATCAACCATTCTAAGTGACGACAACCTTGTACCCTAGTTCACTCGCGGAAACACACCACCAAAGCCCTGTTGTTAGCTGTTGTTAGCTGTTGTTAGCAGCGCATGCGTCAGACAACATGGATCGGTACACGCCAGACTCGCAGCTGAACTAGCAACGAACGAAGCAGTGTGTGTGGGTCGGCAACCAGGAGACAAACCGACTCCGAGCTTATGTTTTGTATGCTTATAGAAAGATGGCCGCATTTCAACAAATATCTCGCAAGGCACACAGGGGATAGATAGAAGAGAGAGAGTGTGTGTGTGTGTGTGTGTGTGTG